CCCAGACTGCTACAACTAAATGCCATAGACTGGGTGACTTAGACAAAGACATTTATCCATTTTTCACAGTTCTGGAGGCTGAAAGTCCAAATCAAGGTACCAGCGACGTGGTTTCTGGTGAGGGCTCTCTTCCTAGATTGCAGACGACCATTGTCTTGCTGCAGTATCACATGGCAGACAGATGGAGCTCCTTCTTGTCTCTTCCTCTTCTTATGAGGGTGCTAATCCCATCACGGGTCTCCTGTTGGGACCTTACCTAAACTGAATTCATGTCTGAAGGGCCTAACCCCCCAATACCATTATGATGAAAATTAGGACTTCAACATATGAATTTGAGGGGGTCACATTCAGTTCATATCAGTAATAAAATGAAAGTTTTTTTTAAGTTATTTAGAACTCTGTAAATCCACTTGGTATCATTACCACCATTACTAATGTGAGCTTCATATAATATGTTAAAGCCTGATACAATATCCTGTAATTTTCTTTTCCTTAAGGATGATGGCATTTTGAGGAAACTTATAAACATGCTCTAATCCCTGTCCCCATCCCTACTTTCCACATGAAAAAACAGATAAAGCTGGGAAATCTGGGTATAAATTCTACCTTCATATTTTAATAAGTATTATCCTAGAACAAGTTATTTCACCTAAGACTTTGTTTCTTCATTTGTAAAAGAGAGACAATGCTGATAACACCTACTTTGTCAGAGCTGTGAAGTTTAAATCACACAATGTATGTTACATGCATACATTAGTCCATATTAACACAGAGTAATAGCTTGATATTGTTAATGTTAAATGTCACGGAATGTTAAATGCTTCTGTTATGTTTTGTTATTATTAACGTTATTGTTAATCACAGAGTTGGACTACATAGCAAGTCTCCTGACATCTGGTGCTCTTCAGAAAAAGACGGCGTTCTAATCTAGCAAAGCCAATTAAGACTAAGAACAATTTTTTTCTTAATGACAAATCTTACTAGGTCTTTTGCAGCTGTGTTTTTTCCATCTAAACAGTAAAGTTGAGTGCAGGGGAAAGCTAGTTTCTGGAAGCACCCATTAGAAGGGCAGTAAGTAGAATAGGACTCAGGTTACAAAGCTCAGTAGGTTTTAGTTGAACCTTGTTGCTAAGATACCTGTATTTTCCTGAAAACCAAACGCAATATAAAGTCTGGTTTGAAGCCATAGAGAAAACTTCCCTGTGCAAAAAAAACATCACTGGATCCTCTCTTCTGCAGATAGCTGGCTGTTGAGGGGAGTCTTTTCTCACATGGTATTTACTTTCTATCTGTACTAAGTGTATTTGCTACTGCTTAGAATTGCTACTTTTCTAAAACGAGAACAACCACCACCAAAAAATCAAAGTATGAGTGCCCAGTCAGAACCGGTAAGGTTACCACTGAGTGTTCAATGACCAAGTTCTCTGCTAGAGGGAGACTGAATGTTTGCCTCATTCCCAGGCTTCCTCAGCCTAAGTAGAAAAAGTTAAAGGATTAGCCCTGATGAATGACTGATGCTCTCAGCAGGCATGGGCTCCAAGCCAGAAATCAGCCCTATGTACAGACAGCAGCCATGTCTGGGGTTGCTGGACGTGGCTGATAACAGGACCGGAAACCCATCAGAGACACCCACCCCCTTACCTCTGGGCCTCATCAAAATTACCTGCCAAAGAGACTCTGCTCCAGACCAGCACCTTGTCAGCCTGTTTTGTAATAGAAAACAGCTGTCTCTGTTGAGAGGGAGAGGTGGAAAGAGTGAAAAGAATGGAGAAAATGCACCATTCATAACTTTTCTGGTGGTGCAGAATTGAAAGTTGCAATCACAGGGCATGTAAAAATGGGAAATTCTAGGAACCCTGTGGGAATGATAGTATCCTCCTCTGAAGGGGCTGATAGGAAATCACAGCTACTGAATTTAAATCAAAGATGACTGTTGATCCTTAATAATGGATTTTGAGTAGAAGCTGAACACTGCTTAGCAACATCCCAGGGATAGCAAAGGCAAAGTGGTAGAGAGTTTTGATCAGGCAATTCAGGTAGGGAGTAGAATCCGTATTGCTGCTTCTTCCTGTTTGTTGCTGTAATCTAGTGCCTAGAACAATGCCTATTGTGTGGCATTGTGCTCCATAAATACTTGTTGAATGAATAATTAATAAAATTTATGACCTGCATTTTCTAAGGCTGAGCAGAATGAATTTTTCGGTTCATTTGATCACAATTTGACTCAATGTTCTGTCACTTACTAGCTCTGCTGTCTTAGGAAAGTTCCTCAATATATCCAAACCTTAGCTCATTTTTCTATAAAATTGGGCTTGAACAGTTACCTTATATGACTTTAAAGATCACTAAATTAAATAGAATGTGTTCTTAAATATCTTTCATGAAAGGTAAGCTCAGTAAATGCTAAAAGTGATCATGAACTGCGTGATCATTCGATCCCACAGTAGCTATTAATGTATATAAATGATGCCCAGATTTACCAGGACAGGATAAAAGTAATACCACAAATACTAAGAAATGTTAATATCAGACTGTTACCTTGTTAATAGTAGCCAGAGGGAAGGGTCCTTGCATGTTTCAGCGACATCCTAGTTATTTACATCCAGAAGAGGTTTCACCAGGCACATTATATAAAGAACTCACCAAGAAACAGTGGGCTGAAGAGACCTTGCACAGCCAGCTAACACCAGGGACAAAGATCATGTAAAAAACGAGAAGCCAGTTGTGACAGAGGCACTATCAGCATCACTGGTTCTTGCATTTATAAAGAGGCAATTTAGGTTTTTGATTAGATCAAGTTTTCTGACTAATGAAATAATCTCTCTGTACAAGCATACATACACACATGCAGGTACCCAATATACATAGGAAAAAAAGAGTTAATTCAAGAATAGGAAAGGGATTTAAGATCATTCAGATCGAGATCTTCAAAATTCGAGTATACGTATTTCACTCATAACAGGAACAGGAAGCTGTGAATAAGGAGCAGTCATAAAACAAGAAAGATGTCTTTGAAACCAAGATTATAATTGCCATCTACATACAGTTGCTTGCTCTCTCAATATCTCTTTCTCTTTCTCTCTCTCTCTCTGAAACTTCCAAATGTCTTCTATTAACAGGACACTTAATTCCTGGTGACGTATGTATCAAATTAGAATTCTAGCCCTTCTATATAGTCGCAGGTTGTCTGTCATCTCTCCCTGAATGTTTCCGAGTCCCCCACCTGCGGTTCCCTGTGGCTTATTCAGCAAGAATACGCCACTCAGCTTTTCTAATGGGTCTTTCTGGTGGCCCTGAGTGATGAGATCACTAAGGAAATACTTTAGTGTTGAGAGACTCATCCTGGGCCCAAACAAAGCCCACCTTCTGATGTCAGAAGGGGCACTTAGAAGTGAATCAGCACTCTGTCCTATAAGGTTTCCTAGTTATGAAGAACAAGAGGGGAATAGCACTGTCCTTGCTGTGCACACTCATATTCCTCTGAAGCCCCTTTGATACAATAACTCAGCTGGTTCTGTCTGCCTCTCAGAGCATGGACTCTGTCCTACCAATGGGGAGATTGTGTGGTTTGAAAAAACTCCTGTGGGTGGTTCTGATACAGAACACCCCACCCATCCAGCACTGGATTGAGAACTAGGGGTCAAAAGGCACACTGAATGGTGGATGTGAGACTTCCTAGATCTCTTACTTCACAGACCTTATGGAAAAGCAAGTTTGGAAATGAATGAGCCCAGGATGAAAATGTAAGTCTCTGTAAAACATCTTTCATCTACAAAGAAACAGCTTTTTCCTCTACCAAAGTTATTTCAGATACATATGTCTTCATTATGGTCATCTGGGTATTTATAAGGAATACCACGTCCCTTGCATTTCAGGTGTGTTGTAGATTAAAGATTATATCATTTTCGGCCGGGCGCGGTGGCTCAAGCCTGTAATCCCAGAACTTTGGGAGGCCGAGACGGGCGGATCACGAAGTCAGGAGATCGAGACCATCCTGGCTAACACGGTGAAACCCCGTCTCTACTAAAAAATACAAAAAACTAGCTGGGCGAGGTGGCGGGCGCCTGTAGTCCCAGCTACTCGGGAGGCTGAGGCAGGAGAATGGCGTGAACCCGGGGGGCGGAGCTTGCAGTGAGCCGAGGTCGTGCACTCCAGCCTGGGCCACATAGCGAGACTCCGCCCCCACCCCGCCCCCAAAACACTAAGGAGATTCATTCTGTGTTTGGTCTCTTTTCTCCCTTGTTTGAACTTGTCACAGCCCTTTCCCTATAGTGAATCTGATTGCTAGGAAAGAGTCCGTTGTGAAATATGTCTCAGTGTTACATTTATTTGCAAGCTTTACTCCACGCGTTGGCATTGTTCTCTCTAATGAGATCAATGTATGGCCAAACTGAGTCACTGGTTCCTTCCCTTCTTCCAAAGAAAACAACGGCAATTCCAAGGAATTCTTTTCTTTGTTAGTTTTTAGCCTCCTATTTCATTTCTATTATAAATAGCATCAATTAGCTGATGTGGAGCTGACAGAGAAGTTTGCCTCCCACGAATCATTTAATTCAGCTGATTCAGCAAAATATTTGACCAAGAGTGTGCATGCGTGTGTGTGTGCACAGACTCCAATGCCTGAGTTTTAATATAAGCTAGATAAAGGCCATTTGTCTCCGGATTAATGATAAACAAGATTAAGAACACAGTTTCTAAGTTTTGTTTCATTTGGGCCTTCTCGAGCTGCACTTAGCAGATACTAAGTTATAATGACCTCTGGAAAGTTCACAAGTTTCCAGGGGTCCAGGATAGTAATTATCTCTTAATTGTAAAAACAAATGCTGCTGAAGAACATAAGGTCAAAGGAAAATCAGGAATCAGGACTTTGTACAGAAAAAAAAGTGAATACAATAATGTTTATTCATCTATGAATCACTCATTCATGATTTTCTTTTTATAATATCATCAACAGAAATAAAATGCCTTATGTTTAAATTTTCACTGTGCTTGTATTTCAGCATCATCAAGAGATACTACTCCTGATGTTTTCATTTTACTTTCCTCGGATCTGCCTAAATTCAGTGTCTCTCCTAGAAAACCAGTCAACTCATGAAAAACTGTTTGTAAGAAAACGTTCTCGACACAAAGAAAAATAAAGGTTTGAGATGATAAATATGATAATTACCCTGATCTGATCACTATACATGATACGTACAAAAACATCACTATGTACCTTGTGAATGTGTATAATTATTATACGTCAGTTAAAAAAGGGAAAATGTGTTGTGCTTAATTATAATAAAATTTAAACAGATTGATGAGAATTCAGATGTTTTCACTGATGTAAATATTACTTAATGGAAAAAAGGACTCATAAAAACTGTTCCATACTTTTTTTTTACCCCAAAGAGTTAATCCATGCTGTTATAGATACTACCCTGTGAGACATACAAATGCTTTTCCAACTTATTGATTTCAAATCAAAGGGCAAAATATACATTAGTAATGATTATCTGCAAAACTCTCCTCAATGTGAATGTCAGTATTTACGTGTTAATGTCAGTTACAAAGATCCCTAAGCAGAGATTTGGGATGCTTTATATTCATGAATCAAGCTCTAATTCAGGAGTTCAAGATACCGCAAACTGGCTGAGTGTGGTGGCTCATGCCTGTAATCCCAGCACTATGGAAGGCCAAGGCAGGTGGATCACTTGAGCTCTGGAGTTAGCCTGGGCAACATGGTGAAACCCCCCATCTCTACAAAAAACTATGAAAATTAGCCAGGCTTGATGGCCTATGCCTGTAGTCCCAGCTACTCAAGAGGCTGGGAGGATGGCTTGAGTCCAGAAGGTGGAAGTTATAGCAAGCCGTGAATATGCCACTGCACTCCAGCACATGTAACAGAGCAAGACCCTGTCCCCTTCCCCTTCACAAAAAAAGAAAAAGAAAAAAAATCACAGAACTACATTACTGCATATATGTTTGTGTAGAATTTACTTTTAATGTAACAACTTCTAGTTTCCCAATAAACTGAAATCCTACACTGAAAAAATAAATCCAGTAACTCACAATTATGTGTTTTAACTGGCCAAGCATGTTTGTCATTTAAAAATAAAATACAGTGTTGAAAAAAAAAGTTATAGTATCTTGGCAATTGTGTTTCAGTATTGTAATGTGTTGGTATCAGAAGAGATTGGGTAGATTTCAGCACGTTAAGTTACATTTTATTATAGTTCATCACATTTAAGAAAAAATTAACTGAAAATGCCATTTTTCTTGCTATCAGCATGGAAAGGCCTCAGTATAATAAGTACCATGAATTCTCTTATTGAGCACTTACTGTGTGCCAGTCGATTGACACTGTTGCCACATGGTCTTTTAACATCCTTATGGTGTAGACAGATTGCTTTTATTTACATTTATAGATGAAAGTGAGTTTTGGAGAGGTAAGGTAACCATACTCAAGTTTAAAAAGAAGAAAAAAGGTAGTAAGTACAGTAAGTAGAGGTGCTGAGAATGAAACCCAGCAGCATATGACTCCTTAGACTATGCTAACATCTCTGCTAGTCTCACTTGCACAAGCTGGCAAAAAAATAAACCAATGCAAGGAGCAAAACTAAAACCAAGAGATCTCATGCACACAAGATGTGCACATAGACATCTATGCTTAAGGAATCATCATACACTAAAAGGCCATATGTTTCCCGGGATTTTTCCTGAAGAGTTGACGGAAATGTATCCTTTGACGGGTATAATGTGCCACCAAACTTTACCATTCTCCTCCCTCCCATTGCTCTAGTGTCTTGTGTTTTGAGGCGAGTATGCTGAACCAGACCTCTGAGTAGCAGAGTCTGTAGGTAAAACACACATTCATATCATAGATCCTAGGGAGGCTGTGCGCCAATGTATCCATTCTTTTACATGCTAGATCAAAGGCTGTAAACATTGATGAGATGAATGTGATCATCTTAGCAATGCTGACATGTACGAATGTGGACGAAGATCAAATTTGCTTAGAGTTGTCTTTCTTTAGCTCTTTCTCGTTTAAAATCTATGCTTGGAGTTTTAAAAGAGTTCAAAGCAAAAGTTAATTTTATATGAGTTCTCATCCAAGATAAGACCAGTAGCGTCACCAACACAATCAAAATGGCCCCAAGCAATGTTCCCTTTGAGAAGTCTTTTACCACAAACTTTTAACCCTCATGTATTTTGGAGGAAAACATTTTGTTTATACTTATTTCAGCAAACGTGACTGAGTAAAACTGATGGGCTCTTTAAGTTGTTTCAGTAGACTTGATTTTAAATAAAGATGCTATAAATTAAGAAGCCTTTTAAAAATTCAACTTTCTAAAGATGTCACATTTTACTGGGTATGTTAAAAATCAAAGGAAATGTTCTAAATAATATTTCAACTTGCAAAAGATGTTCAACTAAAAACCTGATGGAAAATAGCTAAGTATGGACAGCTTTACAGCAGAGGGGAGGTGAGGCAGGGCTAGTCGGGACTAAAGGAGCCATGAAAATCATTCAAATGTGGGTTCCAGTCATGGCTGCACAATCGCCTTCTCTGAGACCTCTGCTCATTATTGACTCAGAGGTCAACTTTTAAGAATGTATAGAAGATTAAATTGAGATAAGATATGTAAAATGCCTGGCACATCGATCACACGGATGTGTAAACTAAATGTACTACTATGACCAACTAGAGTTCTAGACCAATAGAAAGTGTGATACTGAAACATACAAATTGGAGGGTAGCGTGTAACAGTTCAGCTGCTGCTTTCGACAGTTTTTAGCATGCTGCTCAGGAGGTTGTCCTTGCAGCAGAATCATCACACATAAAAACCAACAATTCCAATTGGGAGAAAATTGACCCTACTCTCACCCCTCCAACAGAAGGGTGATGGTTGTACCCTGGAAGGTGTCTGGTCACAGATGGAGAAATTTCTCTTAAAGTCTAGCTCATTTTTATCACATTGGATCCTAGAATGGAAATGGATATTCTTGTGGATAAGAGCATTGATTCTAGGTCTGCACTGCCAAAATTCAAATCATGACTCCCTTCCTCAGATCCAGCTATATAATTTATAGGGCCCAATTCCAAATGAAAATGCAGGGTCTCTTGTCCAAAAATCAGGGCTAAAGTGTCATTACGAGAAAAAATTAAAATTGTAAATTATTAGCACAAATGTTACCATTCATCTTTACATTGTGCATACCAGTTTAAATGCAAATCTAAGACCATTTAACTTGTGTGCAGAATTACTTAAATTACACAATTTGTCTTCCACAATTCAGATATTCATGTGTTTTGTTTCTTTTCAGAACAGTGGAAACTGCACTTAACTAACTCAACTGTACTTCTCGATATGTGCACATTCTACAACACTCTCTACCTTTGGCTTACTGATAAGTAGAGAAGAACGAAAAGAAAAAGGAATGATGGCTTGTCCTCTTTCCCTTTCCTTCTATGTCATCATTACAAGCATAAGTAGTTGGTTAACACAGGGAAATAATATGAGTAAGCAGGGGTGTGATAGAATGTGTGGGCATTCCTTAGAGACACGCCACTGCCTTCTTTTTGTGTTCAGCGCAAGTTCTGGTTTGAACAGAAAGTGCGGCCTCATGGGGCTGCAGTGCCCATGCTTAGTCCCAGATCCACCATGCTTTTGTACTTGCTTTGAGTCTCTCTGCACTCCCATGCTTTGGGGATCCAAACTGGAGTTCTGTGTTCAAGGGACATCATCAACACTACGTGTGGTTGGAGCAATAAAAAACAGCGGACATCCATATTGCACGTACTTCCTCTGCTCACACGCACATTCCTGTCACATTGAGCTTCAATTCCAAAACACAAATTCAAAGATAAAATTATTACAACTTCCAAGACAGTAACGGCGGAGCATTAGACCAAACATGCAATCCTTCTGAGAATGCGGCCTCGTGTGATTGGACGGGCTAAACACCCATAAAGTCGGCCCTGTGCTTACTAATTGTGGGAGCTCAGGTATATTTGTAAACCTCTGTGTATCTCAGTTTCTTCTTCTGTAATTTAGGAAAAGGAAAATGATCTTACCTATCCTATCTTATAAATTTGTTGTGAAAGCAAGTTTACTAATGTATAAAGTGCTTGAAATAGTGCCTGGCACAATACAATTAATAGCTATTATTGTTATTGTATGATCATCATCATAAAGAATTTTTTTAGTGGGGTAGGATCTTAAAGCTGTGTCCTTGAAACAGTATTCAAGAATAATCCTTGAATTTTGTGTATCTATACCATTCTTGTCCTCAAACTATCACAAGGTTTAAAAATTATTTTATAATATAGTTTCTCTACATTAGCATGATTGACATTTCTGGCCAGATAATTAGTTCATTGTTGTAGGGTGTTATCTTGTAGATTATAAAATATTTGACAGCACGTCTGACCTCTATCCATGAAAAGATAGTAGTACCCTCTCCCCAGTTATGACAACGAAAAATGTCTTTGGACATTGCCAAACTCCAGGGGGCAAAATCCTCCTCTCCAATCCCACTTTCCCATTGAGAACCACTGCTTTGTCATTACATAGTGTGCATCTGTCCAAGAACATTTAAGCTGTCTTGCCAAACAAGTACATCAAGGGCCAAATACCACCCCCACTCGCAAGCAGCACTCTCAAACTCTAACATAGCAGAACCCCAAAATGATATTCTCCTTAGGTTCACCGCAGCCCTATAGCAATCTGCCTTTTCCTCTCACTTACTGAGCAGGGAGATTCAAGCTGTTTAAAAAAAAAAAAAAAAAAGGTGGAAAGGTTCATTCAAGTCTGGGAACTGTCAAACCTCTGATAAGCCAGTCCAAAGAGACAGAAGTGAATTAGCTCTTGCTCCCAGGATGGGAAGCCCTAGGAGGTATTATTGTCTAGACGATGCTCCAGCCCCGCTCCCTCCTCCCCCGCTGCCGAGGACCTTGGCATGCCTCAGCTCAGACAGAGCCCTTATGGAAAGTAACATGAGGATTGTGCTGACTCCAGTGAGTTTGATTTATCAGGACTACTGGCATTTGCAAAAGCAAGTGGTCTGTTTGGATGAGATGTTTCCCAGGCAAAACGAAGAAAAAAATCTGGCTGGATTCTCACTGCTCTTGGAACTTCTGAATGTCATTGATGCTTTTCAGCAGAGCAAAAACAAG